AAAACAGAGTGTAAAAAACAGTGTACAGCCTTGTTTGTGTACCTGCTGCAGCTGCTCCAACAACATCTCCCTCTGAATCTCGGTTCATAAGATGAAGCCTTGTTCTGTAGTGACCGTGATTAGCGTAGAAATCCGAGAGCGCCATAGACATGCAGATCAACGTCATCTCTGCATAATCATCCATGTCCAGAACAACCCCGACTTTCACCGGGATAGTCTGAGCCTCCGCCGCCATTTTCGCGGTGAATATGATTAAGGATGATAATAAGAGGGAAAAGAGAGGCACAGTTGGGTAGCTCTTCTTCTCCATCGATCATTTGCTCAACTTTTGTCCCTTAACTTGAGACTTATTGGAACCAAAATGAGGTTCAAACAAGAAGAGAAGCAAGCAAGCAAGAAGAAAATGTTCCCTATTACGGAACCATTCAGTCGAGATTTGTAACAGTTAGATCATCATGTAATCATCGAGAATAGTTGATCTTACAAACCTCGACGAAATGGTTCCGTAAAGGGACCGTAACATCTCTAGTTAGTATAATAGTATATTATGTTTTACTTCACAGACTCGATCAAACTTTTTCTTTTTAAGTGACCAATAGAAAATATTGGAAAAAAAAAGGTCAAACTATTAATCTAAGCGCGTACGCCAGAAAAATATAATTCAATACTTATTCTCCCGAAATTGTGAACGAGTCTATTTGTGAGATCGAAGGAATATTAGAGTCAAAGCTACAATAACCCAGGCCAGTAAAAACAGTACGCACTAAATATAAAACGAAATAATTTAGTGCGTTAAAATCAAGAATTTATTTTACTACCTCCTATTTTTTTTAGAAGTTGCATACTAATTAAGAATAATTTTTTTGTCAATAATAACCTTATTTAATGAAAATAGAGATGAATGTTTTGAAAAAAAGTGAAAAGTGAATATGAAAAGACGTAATGTATTTAATAGTTAAATGAGGGTAATAATGAAAAAATATGTACAAAAGATCCAAAACGACATTTATTTAGTTAATAGTTGATAAAACTAGAATGACATTTAAAAAAAATAAGAGGGAGTAATAATTTAATAAGTAATAGAATTATATTTAATAAATTCTTAAATATGTAGATTTTGAGGAGTCGAATCCTCAACCTTGAGCATTTCATCAGTCATCATTCTGCATATCGAGGTGGGGATTATATATTGTGTTATGTTCCTTATATTCTATTCCATATAATCGCAAAAGTATTATGATTGAGGTACACTATGTGGGTAATTATGCGACAGTACTTTCGGCAAGGTGGGTAGTACCCTTCCGTCGGAAGAAGCAAGTGAGACAGACCTTCCGGCAATTGGACAATACTCTTCTGTCTGAAGAAGCATATCTGAGATAGACTTCACTGTTTGGGCAGTACCCTTTCGTTGGGACCAACAATGTTTTTAGTTATTTATGTTGCATTCTTATGTTATGATATTCGTTATTATACTGAATCTAGTATGTGTTCCCACTGAGTTAGTGGTTTGCTCACCCCTCT